TTGTCTTTTACACTTCTTTCAAACCTGTATTTTTTTAGAAAATGATTTTATTGGAAATTAAAGGTTAAGTAAGAAAACGTCCGTTAAATATTTGAACTGCTCTTAAAATTAAACATTCCAAAAAAATTGCTGGTAGTTTCTTGGCGATGCTTCTAGTTGCATCAACCACCTTGAAGACGTAATGCCACCACAACACTCTACAAGCGAACCAGCAATGCATGACTTCCGCTACACCAAGAAACACCCAAATAGCCGTGTTATGTTTTTCATAGGTCTCAAAGCAACGATTCAAGCAATGCAAATTTAGGACATTAGCGATACTTATGGCGATTTGTGCGGGTTTGCTTCTAGAAAATCCATGCAGTTCCCTGTTGTTCTATAAACTCGATTTTGATGTAACACATCTTCATCCATCCTGGGTATTCTTAGCCTCCGTAACACCAAAGACGAAAATTGCCATCTTCATTTAATTTTACAACAATGAATACAGTCAAGCTTTCATATCTGGGCCGCTTTAATAGTATCATCTTCACTGCTTCTTCGGCGGACCATCATCACTTGGGGCTGGTTTTCTTCATTGTATTTTCTGAAAACTTCTCCGGTAAGCAGGTCCACATTCCCGGCAAGCAGATCTTTTTTGGTACCTTGTGGCTGTCTACTGAACGTTTGTCAATCGTTGTTTCCTTTGAGACGGTCAAGACACTCGGCGGCGAAAACACGGTAGTTTTACTTGCAGGAGCGTGGAATAACATTAGCTTTGCTACAATCGGACCAGCGCTAGCAATAGAGCAGGAGAAGTATACTATGATAAAAGCGATAGAAAGTTGCATTGTTCACAGAAAGGAATGTCGCAGTTTCTCACTTGACTTCTGGGGTCCGCGGTCGTTTGCCTCCACGATTGTATTCACTTAAAGCATTTTGTCCTACAGCTGACAAACATTTCAGTTGTGTTGTCTTAACAGTAGGTTATATCTATGGCTAAAACAGTATAAAAATGAAATTGCTTCCTTTAAAGCCTACATCTATATGGAAATAAAATTGGGAAAGAAAAAAAATCTGTCTTGTCAGAGTTTGAATGGCCTGGAAACAGTGAAAAAAACGGAGAAAAACAACTTATTTGGCAGGATCCGATCGTCATCGCTTTCAGGGCATCTGCCATCTGGCCCCAGTTGTTCAAAAGTTGGATAGCGCTATCGACCGGATAAATCCCTATGCGGATAAGTGTTAGTGAAACCAAATGCGCTATCCAGTGGATAGAGATTTATCCGGTGGATAGCGTTATCTACCTTTTGAACAACTGGGGCCTGAACTGAAAATTATTTTTAGATATTATTGGCTGCCTTACCCATTTCTCACAGCTGAGACTGAATTTTTCGAGATTTTGCATAGCAAATTGCGGATATACTTTCAGCTGTCAATGTTTCTAGCAAAACTTATCGTTGCGTCACACGAAACAGGAGTACAACATAAAATCCTGTGCTTCCTACCGGAGGGCACTACTGGGAATTCTTGGTGGGGATGTGCCGCCCGGTTCTCCGAATTGGCTGACCCTATTTCAGACCAAAAGATGTCACTTCCCACACCCGTTTTCAGACCTGGGGCCCGTTTTTCGAAAGTCTTGATAATTAACCGGCCCGGTAAGCTGTCTCCGTTTACATTAAAGATCGAGGTTTCAATAGTTTTGCATTTAACAAGATAAAACTATCAGTTAATGAAACAAAATGGAGTAGTTTGCTATCCAGGACCCGCGCTCTTTTTCTTTGTATTTCGATTTGAATGTTTTGATTTCGGGCCCGAAAAGTTAGCGGGACTTTCGAGAAACGGACCCCTGGCTTCTAAAACCCATTCCCGTTTTCAGACCTGGAGGTGGTTAATAAACGCAACATACATGTTTTCAAAGACAGAAATTATGTTATTCTTGCTGAGATTAGAACGCCTGCAACATTTCCCTAAAGTCAGGAGATGGGCACCTGATAAAAGCCATTAGCTTATATAGAGAATATAACATGGCCACGCGAAGATACGAAATTGTCTTCGAGTGTTGAAAAATATTTCACCAGTGAGAGCCGAATGTTCTATTTATTATGTAAACATCAATGAAATACCAAACCATTTCACTTTAAAAGTTTTTTGCTCTGAAAGGCGCAATTTATTATGCAGCCATAGCAACGGTGATAATTCACGTGTGAAGATATCTTGTTTTCGCAAGAAAGCTCACCTGTTAATTCATTGGTGTTTATATAATAAAACACTTTCTTTCTTATTCATTTGGAATTGAAATGACGAACACATTCATAAACACTACCGAATTTCCAGTAATTGTGTTATCCAATAAAGTTCTTATTATATTATTGTTATTATAAACCAGTGATGACGTTATCAAATGTTGACTGTTTTTTCAGGCTATACTTTACAAGAAAATTATTTACCTCATTAACTTGTACTTTAAAAAACTTTTGTGTAAGAGAGAGCAATTTACATTTACTTTATTCTAAGAAATCCTCAGTCCAACTACATTTGAATACATTCAGCCATAAATAATGAGGAAAAATATATGCAGTTATTTGCCAATACTTAATTAATTTTGGGCCCACAAATATTTAACTTTCAAGCAAAATAAAACTGAAATTGTGAAGTTTTTCCTACGCGTCAGACTATAATGATAAAGTAAATAAATTCTATAAAATTTCCTATCGCTAATATTAGGGTGATCCTTTTTCATCTCATCAAATTGTAAAATATACAATATCATATAACCTAGCCTAAAATCTAAGATAATTTTTGCTCTTCCATATTGTTTCAGCACCTAAAGTTCACTGCCTTAAGCATTCAAGACTTTTAACCCTTGATATTGATGTACAAATTCTCCCTTCACGTCGCCTACGTCTCTTATAATTCATAAAAAGTGATCTTGGGCCGGGGGGGTACTCCCTATAATGACCTTTACAGAGAGGCTCAGCCCGATTAGGTACCTTATTCACGCTTCAGGTATATGAAAGGGTAGAGAAATCACTGGTTGAAGTATATGAAAGAGTAGAGAAATTTGTCATTTCAGTCTGTAAAATGTCCCAAAGGGCTAACATTTTATGGATGTGACAAAGTTGAGAAAACATTCTGGTTTTTTAAAAGACAATGCATTTACAGGGATGCAGCATTCTACGCTAGGTATGAGGAAGGGGTACCACTTGTCAAAAGGATGCATATGCTACAGGTCAAATTTGATTTCAGGTTAAACGTTTTTAACCTAGGTTGATTCTCAATTCGCTTTGTCTCTTGGCCCTAATTCATGAATAATTACGGCTAGGAAACAAGGGAAATTGAGAATCCACCGAGGTTAAAAAAATGTTACCTGTAACATATATAAAAGGGGCACCTGTCAAAAATGGTATTTAAAAGGGTAAAAAGTTGAACCCCAGGTGGAGCCTCCCCGTATGAAACTTTGTTGATTTCTTTTTCTGAGTTAAATCTAAAATTAATTACACTGTAAAATATGATTTGGGAACAATATACTTCTATTATATGGACACACCATAAATTCCTTGCTATCTGTGGCAGGTCACTCTCCATTTCTGTGCAGAAATAATGACATTGACCTGCTTTGATTCAAAGCAATAATTAACTCCCTAGCTTTGTTTTTGGTATTGGTATATGGCAGAATCCAAAAGCATGCAAGATGAAGCTAATCCTGTTTTCTGATTGGCTACATGAGAGGACAAGATAGTCCCATCTTGTTTTCTTTTTGGCTGTATAATAGATCCTTCATTGACGCAGCTCTGTCAAGTTGGCTGGATATTGGCCTTATTCTTTTTTCATTTTTATTGACCTCTTGGTCCATTTTAAGCCATTGCCATCTTGACTACACGCTTGATCAACCCTCCAAGTTGCTACCATTTTGGTTGCCATGGCGCCTAAAATTTTGGAGCTCCCTAAACCATAAGAGTTGGTTGCCAAATGGCAACCGAGCCAAAACTTTAACTTGGAGGGTTGTTGGTCAATATGTAGTATGGATCATATGCAAATACTTTTAAATTGCATGTTCTTGGTATGTACTTTGTCAACACTGACCCAATTAGTTAGCAAATATTGCAAGAACAAAATGCAGGGGCATTTGCAGATGCATATTAACTTTTTTATGGCGTTAAGGGTAGTATTAGGTTTTAAAAAAAAGTTTCTGAATATTTTTAGTTTTAAACAGTCATGATAATATGCATAGTTATCACATTAAAGATAATTAACAATTATTCCTCAAGCCTGAATGGGCTATTGACTCAGAGGCCATGAGGGCGAGAGGAAAAAATCCAAATAGTTGGTCAAAAATATCGAGACAAAACAACTTTAGCTAGTTCAAGGTAAACTTTAAATCCTTTTTGGCCACCAAAAAGATGGCACTTTTCACTACTAGTGGGCTATAACAGATGATATAGCCTAGTAGCTCAGCCAATCGGAACGCTGCATTGATAATAGACCACTAGTTGGATTTTCCTAATGTTGGAGAGATTTAGAGCTATGATTGAGGCAAACGGCAAATAACAGCAAATATTCATGTTGAAAATTTCTCAAAATAGAAAATGAACAGATAAAAACAGTCTAAAATAATATATTCTTACAGATGGCAATAATGTGAAATTACTTTTATTTTTTGTAGAAGTAAAGAACAGTTAAAGACAAGTAAAGGGAAAACTTGGTCATGTGGCACAAATTCATATTTCCCATAAACGTAACTCTAAATCTCTCAAATTAATCCAATCGCCTAATTTCCTTCCCAGAAACATGCAAATAAGGGAATACAGTACCCAAGATAGTTTAAGGATAACAAAACAAGGAAAAAATTATTTTACAAGACCAAATTTAGACGAACAGCTTCTAAGCCGTGATGTGTATGTTGTTTCACTCTTTTGTATCACTTTCCACTCCAAAGATGGAAATTTGTGTTGATTTGATTATGGTCCGGGTAAGTATGAACAGTTTTACAGTTTTGAAGCACAATTTTCATATCATTCTTACGCTGTTTTCTTTTGGCGCCTGAATAGGTTTTGCAGAATAGTTCCTGCTCTCTTGCGGTGTTTTTTGTCCTTTTGAGCTGACTTTGTCCCAAGTCTTTCCTTTCTCCTTATCTGTCGTACTAAACTGTGAAAAACATCGTCCACAAAATGCCGTAAGGCAGCAGATGTTTCAAAAAATGCACAGTCAAACTCCTGAGCGAGTGCTTGCCCTTCTTCTGTTGTGACTTCTCGTTTACTTTCCAAATCAATTTTGTTCGCAACAAGAACCATGGGTATGTCATCACATCGTCGCACACGCTCAATTTGTTTTTTGGCTTGTGAAGCCTCTCTAAAACTTTGTCTATCTGTTATGGAGTACATTATGATAAATCCCTCACCACTTCGCATGTACTGTTCTCTCATAGATGTAAACTCTTGCTGCAATTAAAAGAACAGAAAATCAAGTTTGTTTTTCCCATGAGCGAACAAATTTCTTTTTGGTACAATTGTATCTTTTGAAGCTGTGAATAGAACTATCCATGCCACCATTGTTACAATTGCCACAACTTATATAAAAAGATTATTAAAAAAAAGTTATCATAAAAAAATTCAAAACATCTGAAGAAAGTACACCCAACTCCCAGAAAATCAAACCAATAATAATCATATTTAATAAAAGTTACTTACAACAGAAGAAGGTGCCATTTTATTTGTGTATACTCTTAAATATAAAACAAATTAAAGCAGGCAACTTGAACAAGTGCATTAGCTTACTTGTCCAGCGGTATCCAAAATGTCCAGCAGCCCTGATTCACCATCAATAACAGCTTGACGTTGATATGCATCCTCTAACAACAAGATGAAAAAAACTTATCATAAATTAGAAGATATTTTTAATTGAATTAGTTAACAAAGTAAAAATCACATAAATAATTCACAAGAAAACCTAAAGAAGAAATAAGCAATTAAACTTTGATGGCTCAGAACAAATTAATGTTACATGTGTAGTACAATAGTAGTGTAATTAATTATTAATTAAATACAGTGTTCTCCCTATTAGGCAGTAACCGGTAAAATTTACCGTCTGAAGCAAGTCACTTCTTACTGCCTGCAACAAACTGAAGGTTTACTAAAATTAAAGAAGTACTTTTAAAAAATACACAAGTTGTGATCCGATCTGATTCTCACATGCCACAAGAAAATGAATGAATATGTGGAAAAGTGCTAAAGTATGTATACACAGCTTTTCTTTTTATATGGGCCATGCATTTTGGAAACAACATTGAAGACAGAGTAAAATTATTGGAATCAATTGTTTTAAATTGTTGTTTTAAGATGAGAACAGCCGAGTTGCATAAAATAGGTCTTAAAATGAGGGAATGATGTTCCAGAGAACTTAGCTCCTAAATTTCCCAGCAAGGGCGAAGCCATGTCCCGCACTCCACTGCCCACCTTCCCCCAGAAACATGCACCTCTGTGGTGCACATTTTTTGCCTTACCGGCTGCGAATGATCCCTTACCTACCGTGCTAAAATTTAGGGAGAACACTGTCAAATAGCGATATAAATCAATAAAAAAATTCACAGTTTGGTTATCGTCTCACCTATAGTAGGATCATGGTAATCCAAAAAACAATGGGACACAAATTGCATTGTTACAGCTGAAAAATAAAACAGATTACATCTGATAAGTCATATTTTCATTTGCATAAAAAGACCATGAAGGTCAAGGGGTAAGGCATTGCACTAGAAATTGTACCTACAGATGCCAATTTGTTCTGTAAATTGGGGACCTCAAATCCCCAGCTCAAATCCTTAACATAAGTAGCCAAATTAGTGACTAATTCTTCATGTCAACCTACTTGAAGACCTGATTCATTTTAAAAATGTGGAATTAAGATTCATCTGTAGCAGTGAAGGGTTTATCAACATCTGTGTTTATGTCAGACAGTCAGCACATGTTCCACAAAGAAAATATGTCAACAGACACCATCTTGGATTTCAAGTACATACTTTGTGTATGATCCCTTATAGTGTCCTTGATCGATTCAGCATATCAGACATTGAATGATGGTATTTTTATAAAGGTTTAGAGTGGTTTTCGTTTGAGTGTCGTAAAACCAAAACCAAAGTAATTACTCTGGCCAATCACATAGGACACAGACAATACATTGAACCAATCAAAACTCGAAGTAATTACATGTGGCTGACGCAAAGCGCGGGAAAATGCATGCGAGCGCGTCACAATTGGCTTTGGTTTTACTTCTGATTGGATGAAAAGGTGGCGCGAATCTTTTAAGCCAATCGCATCGTGTAGAAAGTGCAAAACCAATTACTTTTCGACACTCAAATGAAAACTGCTCTAACACAACACTATCACTAAGGATAAAAAGTCATAATTCTACAGGCTCTACAGTAACTCGCAAAGCAACAAAAGAAAACCGATTTCTATTAGATAAGTTTGTTTTTACATCTTGCTCACCACAAAGGCAAATACGTTAAAAAAAAAACATACACAACAACAACAACAAAGCTGTCAGTAATAATAAAAATGAGGAGAAAGAAAAAGGTAAAAGGAAAATAATTAATTTTACTTTACTCAAGGGGATTATCAAAATGATTTTCATGTCGGGTAATTAATAACAGGAAGAACAACATAATTTTGCTTTTTGTCAGTAACTTAGGCTTTCGTGTTTTCCACCTCTACATCTCTGTGTCACTTCTCATAATTAAAGTGCAAAACTACTATTTATAATGAGACGTTTAACCCTTTAAGCCCTAATATCAAAATTCAAATTCCCATTTGCTGCCCCTATACATCTCCTGTAAAAGTAGTAGCGAGAAGTTGTTGAAGTATCAACTCATCGTATCTTGTGTGATTATGTCCTTAATTCTCATCACCAATCTGTTATATAAAGCATTGATATCACAAGGAGAATTTTGATACTAATCACTCTTAGGGCTCATTAAGGCCAAGACTCTGTCTCCCTTCAGTAGAAACTGTAGCATTCCATTTCCCTTAAAGACAGATAGAGCCATTTACTTAAGAGTGAGACCAATACTGTAACAGCAGCAATTAAATTTTTATGAAAGTTGGCTTTGTTTACTATACACTTGTCAAATTAATTTAAAATAATGCACAAAGACATCTGCTTGGATGTAGCTCCTAACCATATGCACAAAACAAGGAAGTCTTGAGTTCAGCTGACTGGGGAGAAGGGAAGTCCTTGTTTTTGCATCCTGGCAGGATGCATCTTCCCTCAGTTCTAAATTCTCAAAAGTTATCATTCGTTAGACTCATTTCAACAGGCTGAAATAAATCTGGAACTCTGTTACATTTCCTCTTAAGACACTCCTTAGCACCAAAACGCACGCGACCTCGCGTTTCGCGCGCGAGCACCTCTCTTCACTAAGATGACGTTTCAAAAAAACTTGAAATAATTATTTTTTAGTGATAGCTCACAAGAATTTAAAGCAAAAAACGTAGCAATCTTTAATTATCTCGACACAATTGGTCAAACATAGTAAGCTCTTTAAGGTTTGCTGAAAATCGAACGTCACACTTCACTGAAATAAACAACATCGGAACATAAGTATGTTATTATCATTCTCACTATCAAAACAACACCAGTTCACAACAACTTGCAAATGGTATGTACAACAATATGTTCGAGATGATAAGTTTTCTTACCCTTGCGAGATTTTATAGAAAAACGTCGTTTGCTTATCTAAGAAAAGTAGCATTTAAAAATTTTCCCCGGGCAAGAAATAGAGTGGAACAGACAAATTACTAAAATCATTGTTTCAAGCCGCTACTTGTTACATTTCCCTCTGATCACATGCCAGAAAAGTTAGAATTCCGGACAAAATAAACAATAAAGTTGGGAAATTTGCGAAATGTACACCCTCTACTGTAGACAAACACACTGGTGGTATTCCAAGCATTTTATAATTAACCAAAGGATGAAAGCGTTGTAAAAGTGCAAACAAACAGTTCATGGTCGATCGATCGATTTCGGCGGCGATGGCGCATAGCGATATTTCATAACAAAAACGTCTCCTAATCGGATTTACAGTTCTCCGGAGCTGATATCACCATAATTTTTCCTTTAAAAAAGAGAGTATCCAGGAAATGGTTTTTGTTCAGTGATTAGCGATCAATTTTGAATGTTTGCTCGCAAATTCCTTTGGTCAAGGGACGTGAGATCTTTACGCCAGACTGAGCTCGTATCGTTAGTTCGTACTCACCTGATTTGCCAACTCCTCCTTCGCCAAGTAACACAATTTTGTAAATGCGAAGACCACCAAGAAACGAGGCAGTCGTTGGATGCATTCTCTGCACTATATAACAGCTCCAGTATGATTTATGAATACCGGCTCTGATCTCTTCGTTCCCGAATGCTCCCTGTCAATGCGCAGCGTAAACGTTCGTTTCATTTGCATGAATTGTTTTTCTGCGTTTAATTTTATAGGCGACCGGAGTTATTTTTGGACCAGCCCCTGATTGGTTCCTTTCTACGAAGTTGATAAACAAACCTGAAGAGTTTGCTGACGGGTCACACACTTTCGTATCATCACTGTTTTGGGCTGGTCACATTTGTGGTAGCAAATAAATAGGACACAACACGACTTCCCGATAAAAAGAAACGACACTATTTTCATAATTCCACGTGACTAATGCATACAAACCAATGCAAGATTAGTTCACTCCTCCCGAATCGGACTCCTTTCGGAAGTGACGGTCTTCGTTTAGGGGTAGGAATTGCAGATTTTGGTTGCTCTGCAGGGCACGCGGTTTTCAAGACGGAAAGCACAAAAAGAAAACAGAAACGCCATTCTAGCCATGCCCAGATTAGGTTTTTTTTATGAATTGTCCGTTTAGCATCCCCGGCACGTCTCACTGTGGAGTGTGGAAGTCTTTCGGGGCCTTCTCCCACAAAAGCAACCACCCATTTCCCACTCCACGTTTTTTTCCCAATTTGGGTGTAAATTAATTTTGACTGAATCATGATAAGCTTTCTTTTTAGGACTTATTCTTCAAAAAGCATCAAACTGAAACGTAGCAATTACCGGTATCCGATTAAACGCGTGCTGTGAAAAGTTTCAATAATATCCTTCTATACTTTACGACGAGAACTAAAATACCACCTGATATCGTTTAATATTCGAATTTAATCGTTGGCTCTTAAATACATACCTCGCATGTTTCAACATTCGTAGAGAAGAAAATAATAATAATAATAGTAATAATAAAACAGGATGGGTTCCTTAACTTGAAAACAACGTATACCTGGCCCAGGGGGGGGGGGGGGGGGTTTCCGGGTTTTTTTGGGTTTGAAATTTTTCGTTTTTGGGTTTTTTGGGGGGGGGAAATTTGGGAAAAAAGGTTTTTGGTTGGGGGGTTTTAATAAAGGTTTTTTTTGGGGGGTCAAAAAAATTTCGGGGCTGGTGGGGTGATGTGATGATTATCCGGTTATTTGGGGGTTTGAAATTTACGATTTTGGGTATTTCTGGGGTAGGAAAATTTGGCAAGAAAGTTTTTGTGTGGGGGGATTTAAGTAACGATTTTTTGAGGACGTTCAAAACAATCTGAGGACTCGTGGTAGTGCCCACGAGTATCCCAGCCGCGTTGGTAGCCATTCTACGAGTAAAAAATAAAAACAAACTTGCTTGTTTTTCGGCTACGGTTTTTAAGGCTCGGAAATTCGGCAAGGGTTTTCCTTCGGGTTAATTTTTGGTCCAGGGATTTTTTGGGGTTTTGATTTTTGCCCCCATTCGAACATCTCCGTCACTTGAAATCCCGAGTACCCCCCGGAATACATGGCCCGAAAATACCCCAAAAATCTATCTGGAAATTCTCCAAAAAATGTCTATAAATCCCAATTTTATCTCTAAAAAACCTCGAAATTTGTTCTAAAAATCCCGTTTTATCCCAATTTTTTTTTTCAATAATCACATTTATTTACTAGACAATGTAAGTGGTTCGTCTCGTTTACATATAATTTTTCTTTCAAACAAACGATAACGACAAGAAGCACTTAGTAAAGTTTGACATTTCATGTGGCATAACCGAGCGAGGCCATAAACATGACAACTGTATTTTTCTTAACATTATCGTCTAAAAATCCTAAAATGTCTAAAAATTTTCCTAGAATCCTAATTTTTACTAAAAATTCCATTTGACTCCTTAAAAGTCTGGATTTTTGTACCTAGGCCTAGTACATGGCGTTCAGGGGTCAGCGGTGATGGAGTTCAATCAGTTACCAAAAAATTGTTGCAGTGGAGAATTTTGTTGCTAGTTTGCAGAGTGAAATGTTAAACTTTGACCGAAAGCACGCAGAGGGTACGTGCGGCCCCATGCCCAGCCCATAAGAGACTCAATGAAAATAAATAAAGATAAAATAAAACCTGAACGTGTCTCTCACATGAATCATGATTTAGGACCATTCTAGTTAAGGCTGATATTAATCTTCATAAGCATCATCTCATGACAACGCTCACTCCGCTTAGGATGGATGCTGATCAGTTTATGCAAGAGGTCTTGGAAGCACGTGAGCAGCCTCTTAAAACCATCCAGGAGTATTCGTTAAGAATTTATCAGGAGGCCAGTCTCCCTCGCAACCGGGTTTGTCCCTGCGAGGGAGACTATTTAGGCGCGTATAGAGCAAAATGATTATTTTTTCCGTGCGAGGTCTTTACGGCAAAATCGAAATTAAATTTTAAACCTGAAATGGTTCCAAAACCATACCCAGAAGGGCGAAAGGGACGTGTGTGTCTCGGGGGTGGGTATATTGTATCATATGCTGTACAGTATTTGGATGGGGTTGCGGAAAACTCAAACAAACTGAGTGACCTCGACTGTTTCAAAACGAGTTAAATTGCACGCGGCCAGCGGAAAAAGAAAACGAGAGGAAAAAACGAGGGGAGACTCTCCTTTTTCGCGCTGGTCTCCACTCGTTAAAGTTTCCCTCGTTAAATTTTCGTCCGCACTCCATCAACCTCGTCCCCAGGGTCTTCTCTCACCATATCGGAAAACGAGAAGACCCTGGGGATGAGGTTGGTATCAAATATCTACGTAAGAAATGCATGGAAGTTCCAGGAGCTCATGCTGTAGATATTACAGTGCGACTACTCGAACCGGGACACTTGGAAGAAGCAGTTATTCAATTACGTTTTTCGAAATCAACGGCTTCTCTAGAATCTTGAATTTTCGTTGGTCCGTTTGAAAAAAAGCTTGAGAAACTTTTCAGTTTCAAAAAAACGTTGCCATCGGATAATCTTCCTCAAATTGCCGGCCCCAGTTCGAGTAGTCTCACTGTAATTGACACACAAACAAACAAAATAAACTTGATCTTACACCTCACTCTTGTGTACACAGAAGAAGAGTGTTTCTCTCGCCAACCTATCGGTATTTTCTTATTGCATCCTAAGGGCACATCCTAGTTGCGGTCTCATTAAGCTTTCCTTTGCTTTCGACGCCTCTTAAGCTGCCCTCGCTCCATTTCTCGTAGCCTCCCACGCAGGCGTTTTTAGGGGAGCTCGTTTTTAGCTCATGGGTGACGTAGTCATGCCATGGGCTTTTGGAGGCACTCGAATGGCACTCGATCACTCACTCACTCACTCGCTCACTCACTCACTCACTCACTCACTCACTCACTCACTCGATTCTCATTAATTTATTCATTAAAGGCAGATTAAACACTGCACTCTTACCTCCCTTTCTCAGTATTACGTTTGTTCCAAGTGCCTTGTGAGCATATGTTTGGCATATTCTAGAGGGTGCTAGTAAGGCCTACATTTTTTCCCGACACATCATAGAGTCAGGGGCACCCAACGACAATTTTCGGAAAATATCTGTTCGGAAGACGATTTGAGATCTAGAATTTTCGGAACATTTGTTGTAAAATTTTTTTGCATGCCTCTCTCTCCTAGGATTTTCGAACATCTAAAAACTACTATAATTGCCCATTTTTTAACGGATTTTTACCCTCAAAAGGTCACCTAGAATTTTCGGGAGCCTTTTTTCTGGCTGAAATTTTCGAAAAGGTAAGTTTTGATCCCTATAATTTTCGGATCACTAGACTTTCAGCTAGGAAATCCGAACAGATGAAAAATTTATAGGGGATAAAAATATGCCTATATATACCGTTTAAATACTAAAATACGTTTAACAATGCTATGTTTAAGTGGTTTTGAACTATATTCTCATTGGGTGCCCCTGATAGAGTAGCCAGCCGAAGATGGGTTTTGTATAAATGGAAATATTCTAAAGAACACTGACTATATCATTTGCAAGAAATGGACTTGGAATTGTTAAAAGGACATTGAAATAATTGAGTATGCATCATTGTTGTATATTTCGACGAATTGTGCACATTTGTTCTCAATATTACTTTATGTGGAGAGGATGCGATCGACTGGAGTGTGAAAGAGCTATCGCAGCCTGACGATGGGATTTCATTCAGTGAAAAGCAAATAAGCCAAAGAGCGTTAGCTGCCAAAAAAAACGGTCTTTGAATTGTTAAAGCGACGTTGAGAAGTATCTATTGCGGTTTATTATTATTTGGACGATTTTGCTTGAATTCTGTAATTAGCTGATATTTGCCCAGTAGGCTTTTCTTTGTCGCTGATTCCATTTGTCAGTCCTATTGATGTAATTTCTAAATGCTGCGCCGGAATAAACAAGTTTCTAAAATATTCAGGTACAGAAGGGCAATCGCATACTTCGACTGCGTCTTAATTACTTAGCTACAGTCTATAGGTCAGAGCACACACAGCTTCGAGCTTAGTCCGTTTATTAAAATAACTTTTAGCTAGTGTTTAGCAAAAGCGCGTTCTAAAGCAGTTTAATTTAGCCATAAACGCCTGCATTCTGTACTTAATAGCTCGTAGTACATATACTAACCGTTACGCACTCTTTGTGAACAGCATATGGAAACATTTTTTTAAAAGCACTTAAAAGGTCAGAGCACGTACAGCTTCGGGCAAGGGAGCTTGCTAGTCGCTGGTGGAAAGCGTGAGTGCTATAGAGATGCCAAAAAGTTACCGAAGAAATGCTGACGAAATGCTTAACACTGTATGCCAAAAAGCAGATGCCAAAAACCAAATGCTAATTACTGTATGCCAAAAAACACATGCCAAAGATTAATGTAAACATGATCTATCAAATATATCAACACAGAGAGAAAGTCATGAAATATAAGAAAACTAAGGAGAAAGGTTAATTTGTTACAAGGCCCAGGCAGTTTCAATCACCTGAATTTCAAAATGNAGCAGATGCCAAAAACCAAATGCTAATTACTGTATGCCAAAAAACACATGCCAAAGATTAAT